AAATAACAATAAACAGACAGTTACAATGGTGTACTTTTACAAATATGACAACAATAAACAAATGATTACAAAGGCATACTTTTACAAACATGATAACAATAAACATACAGTTACAAAGGCATAATTTTTCTTTTCCACTGTTATAATAGTACACAAAATGTACAAGCACTAGATCAGAAACCAAACCACTCTGATGTCAGCTCATTACATCAATACAAGAGATCTGGCTAGAATATCTCACTCTCTGCACAAGCTTTTAAAATACATGCATTGAAAATAGTGAGTGATATGTTTGTCTGGTTCCATTAGTTCAATGTAAAACTATATGAAACAAGTAACTAAAGATTTTACACCAGTTCAGAAGAATGGACTTAGTGAGAAACTAATCAAAACTGATTATAAAACATTTCTTGTCAGTTCAGAAAAACAAGTTCAATGTAAAAATATAAGTACACCAGTTCAGAAGAATAGGTTTGATATAAAAATAGGTTAGAAAAGATTTACTGCCAGATCAGGAGAATGGATTTCCTTGAAATTAAAGGCTAGTTAGTCAAACTTCTGTGGTAGAAACATTCTAGAGCTTGATAAAAAAAAAACTACAAATTGATTTAGTGCAATATGATAAATAAAAGTCAACATGAATTCATCAAGTGGATATCTTGTTTTACTAATCTATCTATTCACTAAGGATGTGAAATGTTACCTGGACAAAGGAAAGAGTGTAGACTTGATATTTTTGATTAGGTGTCACACAAAGTATTAGCTAAGATAATCACATGAGTAGAGGATGGGGAAGGACCAGTTAATTGTATTCTAATTAGTTGTTACTAATTAAGTCCAGTCAAACTGGACCTTTATTACTAGTGAAGTACCTCACAGATCAGAGCTAGGGTCTTTTCTTTTACTTATTTACCTTAATGATACTGATAAAAACATAATTAGTAAAGTTTACTACCAGTATTAAACTCTTAGGTATTTCTGGCCGTGCTGAGAACAATGAGGTGTTAAAAAATGATGAGTCGAAACAATTGGTAAGTTGGATAAATACTTGGCTAATGACCTTTAAATATAGTAACGTAACCTGGGTTGCATAATTTGTATTGTAAATTGATTATATTTGGTCGTCAAGATGTTGATGTCACTTTTTTTAGATGAAAAAAACCTGAACAACTTATGTATCAAAACAAAACATTTATTA